GGGATTTTATGGCTTGTGGTGCATCTCAAGGAATACAGCCTGTGGTTCCCTTGGTGCACAGCGTCACGGTGGCACCTCAAGGACACCCCCAGCCCCTCTGTTTTGCTGTGCCACCCCACGTCACCCCCTGCACATGGCACAGGGAGCAAACCCCCAGCCTGGTCGGCATTGGGGTGATGCAGGAAGGTGAACCCCGAGGAGCAGCTTGGAGTGCTGGAGGGGTTGGGAGGCAGAAGTCACATGCCTGGCTGCCCCCCCCCCCCTCCTCCCCCTTCAGCCCTTTGCCTGCTCTCCCCCTGCCCACCCTCTGCCCACACGCAGATAGCAGATAAGCTGTGGTTTGTGCTTTCATTTAAGGACTGGTTCTTGTTTTCCGGGTGCGGGGTCACTTTCCCCCCCCTGCCCCCCATGCAGCCACAGGTCCCACATTGAGGACAGCCTCCCCAACAGGCTTGTTGCTCGGGCAGGGGGCTGTACCCCACTCCTGCTGCAGGCACTGGGGGGCAGGGGGGCTGCAGGGAGGAGCCCCCACTGCAGGCACTGATGCTGGGGGGGCCCTGTGGTTGGGCACGATGCAGTGTGGTTGACATCTCGTGTGTCAGTGGCACCGTGGGGGGAAGCGACACGGGCAGCTCCCTCTGCAGCCCCCTGTTCCTTTTCAGGGCTGGGCTCTGTACCACGGGACCCTCAGAGCTTCCTCTGGAGGTGAACCAAGGGGAGAAGCTGCTGGAAGGTGCTGGTTTTGTTTTGAACGAGCCGTGCCTCCCCCCATAAATCGGGCACTTACACCGAGAGGGGAGCAGTGGGGGGGTGCATCAATCCCTACCCTCCCAGCCACCCCATAGCGTCCTGCTGTGCTCCCACTGCTGTCCCCAGCCCCCCCCAGGCTGTGCCATCGCTCTGGGCTCACAAGAGACCCAAAGGTGACTTGGAGAGGGGGGGGTAAAGGGGCACCTTGGTGCTGCCAGGAGCCCCACAGGATCCAGGCACAGCAGCGGTGCTCCCCGACACTTTCGGGGCTGTGGGCGGCTGAGTTTTCAGCAGCTGTTTTGTTCTCACGTCTTATCTGCAGTTACGTATCAAATTTATCCTGAAACAGCGATATTTTGTTTTTTTTTGGGGGGGGGGGTGGGTTGGGGGGAGGTGGAAGCTTACAGCAACCCTGTCCAAAAACTCCTGGCTCCTGGAGGGACCCGCTGTGCCGCCCGCTGCCTCCACCCCATCGCATCGCCTGCTGTGGGGTCGGTGTGGGGCTGGGGGCTGCTCCTCACCCCCCCACCTCCCCCCCCCCCAGCCCCGCTCTGTGAGCTCCTCCACCCCAACGTTGTGGTTTTCACGCTTCCTCCCTGTGCTGCAGAGGCTCTGCGGTGGCCCCGGGGTGCTCCGCTCGGCCAAAATCTGGCACTGGGGCTTCAGCTGCCCCCCTTCCCCTCCCCTTCCCCCTCAACCCCGCTGTGGGGTGCGGTGCAGTGTGGGGCTCTGTGGGTTGCAGCTTGTGGTGCTGGCACCGATGGATCTCAGTGTGTCATGGGGGGAAACTGAGGCACGGGCTGACGCTGGGAGGATGGAGCTGTGCTCCTTGGGGAGCACATGATGCCCATGGGGTGTGGGGGGATGTGGGGCTCACAGCTGGTGGTGCTGAATGAAGTGTGGGTGAGGTGGGGTGGGAAATGTCCTGCGTGGTCCCCTTGGTGACACCCAGCAGAGCCATGGGGCCACTGGGGACGTGAGTGACATGGGGACCCAGTGAGGCAGTTGGGGAGCTCTTCTTGTCCTTCTCCTACTGCTTTTTTCCTTTTCCTTTTCCTTTTCCTTTTCCTCTCCTCTCCTCTCCTCTCCTCTCCTCTCCTCTCCTCTCCTCTCCTCTCCTCTCCTCTCCTCTCCTCTCCTCTCCTCTCCTCTCCTCTCCTCTCCTCTCCTCTCCTCTCCTCTCCTCTCCCCTTCCAATTCACTTCCTTTCCTCTCCCCTTCCTCTCCCCTTCTTTCCCTTCTTCTTCCCTTTCCATTCCCCCTTCTTTTCCCCTTCTCTCTTTCCCCCTCACAGTCCAGCAGCACAGGGCAGCCCTGTCGGCTGCAGTTACACCCAGCAGCTCCTGGTCCCCGCGGTGTCACAGCAGCTCACATCACCTTGCTGGGCTCACCCAGCCTGACAGCCCCGCGGGTACCACAGGAGATGGGTTCTCCCTTCACATCACCACAGAGAATCTGTTTTTTAACAGCGACACCCAACTTGAGGAAGATCTGATGACTTTGGCAGGGCCTTTGGGAAGCCGTTGGGAAGCGGCCGCGTCCGTGCTGCTGCTTCTCCCGGCCCCATGGGGCAGCAACGCGCGGCCACAACTTTTCCCTTTTGAGTGCAAAAGTCCAAGTTTGGGGGGAGTTTGGTGGTGGTGCCGGGAGGGCCGTGCATTGTCCTGTGTGACAACTCTGTCCTTGACACAGGGTGAACCTGGCGCTGGCCTACACGGAGCTGACGGAGGAGCTGTGCCGCCTGCGCAACCTCAGCTCCCTGCAGAGCCAGATCCTGCGTGCGCTGCTGCAGGAGAAGAGCCTCAACGGTGGTAAGGAGGGGGGCAGCCTGGGCTGATGGGGCTGTAAGAAACAGAGGGCGCTGGCTGCCCTCCCCCTGGGGTTGGTGCAGAGCTCCTGCATGCATCCATCCCGTGAGCATCCGTCCTGAGAGTGCCCATCCTGCCAGCATCCCTGCTGCGAGCCCCGCTCCTGGGGACTGCCAGCCCATGGGCGTCCGTCCTGCGGCCATCGCTCCATCCCATAACCGCCCCTCCTGCCAGCTCCCCTCCGTGCCACCCAACACGCGCAGGAGGAACGCTGCCCACCTGACGGGGGATTTCCTGTGCCCCCTCCCTCCTTCTCCCCGCAGGTCAGCGCCATTCTCCTCTGTCTCAGTGCCATTCCCCAGCCCAGCAGCGCCGCTCGCCCGCCCCTCAGTGCCCCTCGCCCGCTCCCGGCCGCCCTCCGGCCCCTCAATGCCAATCCCCGGCGCTGCAGCGGCGCTCACCGGCCCCTCAGTGCCAATCTCCAGCCCAGCAGCGCCGTTCACCCGCCCCGGGACCCTGCCAGTCTCCGGCCCAGCAGCGCCGTTCGCCCGTGCCCCCCTCCAGCCCCTCGCCCGCCCCGCAGCGCCGCTCCCCGGCCCCACCTCCGTGCCCGTCCCCGGCGTCGGCGTCTCCGCACCGCCTGCCCGGCGAGAGGATGGAGCTGGGCTACGCCAAACCCTCCAGCCGCCACATCAAGGCCGGCTTCCAGGGCCGTCGCAGCTACTCGGAGGTGACCAACGTGGCCCCGTACCAGCAGAGCCGCGCGCTCTGGCTGCAGCCCGAAGCTTCCACGCTCCCCAAGCACCGGCCCTACGGTGAGGTGTACCTGGGGGGGGCGGGGGCGCCGCTGAGCGCCCGGGAGCCCTTCGAGGAGCACCTGCGCTTTGAGAAGCAGTCATCAGATGAGGAGGACTGGGCGGACCCCGGACCCTCCAGCCCCGAGGCCGGGGCCGTGCGCTGTGCCTCCTTCTGTGCCGGATTCCCCATCCCTGACCGGACGGCTGCTGCCTATGCCAGAGCTGAGCACGCCCAGTCCTGGCCCTCTATCAATGTAAGCGGGACCCCCGCCCACCCCCGGGGCGCTGTGCGATGGCTGGAGGGTGGGGGGGGGGGGTCAGGGACCCCCAAACCTGCAGCATGCCTCGGTTTGTCCTGTGGGTCCCCAACCTGTGCCATGCGAGGGAGGGGGAGCGGGGGGTGATGGGGATGGGGGGTGATGGGGATGGGGGGTGATGGGGATGGGGATGATGGGGATGGGGGGTGATGGGGATGAGGGGTGATGGGGATGGGGGGTGATGGGGATGGGGGGTGATGGGGATGAGGGATGATGGGGATGGGGGGTGATGGGGATGGGGGTGATGGGGATGGGGGTGATGGGGATGGGGGATGATGGGGATGGGGGATGATTGGGATGAGGGATGATGGGGACGGGGGATGATGGGGATGGGGGCTCGGCCCTGCAGGGTGGGTGGGCTCAGAGCAGCCCCTGTGCCCACAGCTGCTGCTGGAGACGGTGGACTCGGAGATCCGGAGCTGCCCTCTGTGCCAGCTGGCTTTCCCCATCGGTTACCCGGACGATGCTTTGATAAAGCACATCGATTCGCACCTGGAGAACAGCAAGATCTGAGGCTGCCCCCCACCCGCGGGCTGCCCCCTCCCCTCTTTGGATGCTGCATGAGAACTGGTGGAGCAGCACGGCTCCGAATTACCTCCAGATGTGCAGCAGCTGTGGAAGGACCGAGCCCAGGGGAGCCGTGTGCCCCCCTGTGTTTAGGTGGGTTTCCCCGCTCGCCCCCTCTCTGCATCCCAGGCACAGTTGGTTGCTTCACCCGGGATGCTCAGGGTTGGGGCCGGGGACCCCCCCCCACACACACACACCGTTGGGTTTCTCTGCTTGATCTCAGGGAGGATTTGAGGGACCGGGTCCTGGATCCGGCCCCCAGACAGCAGTGAGGAGAGGGCTGCCCTCCCTGGGCTCCTGGGGTCAGAGTTGGTTCAGGGTTGGGGGGGGGCTGCTTGTTCTCGCTCCCCCACCTCTTCCCACCGGTTCAAGCACCTTTCTGATCTTTTACATGAAAAGCATCCCCCCCCCCCCCCCCCCAACCCTCTCCTACCCCCCACTTCTCCCTTCTCCCCACAACGATGCTGCTGAGAAACAAAACCCGTATGGCCGCGGCGCAGCATGGCCGTCCCGCACCGCTGCACCGAGCCCCGCAGCCATCGGCCCCCCCCACCCCCCGGCCCCTGCCCCACACCCCCACGTTCGATCTACCTCAACTCCCCCGTGTGGCCCCCGATGCCGGGAGGGGGCACATGGCACCGTTTTCCCCCCCTCCCCCCCCTTCCTCTGCCCCATGCTGCATGTCCCCCTGTGCCGCACGCACCACCCCGGGGCACCCGGAGGGCACCGACCCCCAATAAAACCCACACACTGCCGGGTGCCACTGCTGTCCCCTTCTCTTCTCGTCCCCACGTTGGAAAGGGGGATGGGGTGAAGTGTCCCCGTGGGGCTCGGCTGGGGGTGAACGGGTTTGGGGTGCCCGTTGTGTGTCACCTACAAACGCGGCCCCGTTCCCAGCGCGGTTGTTGATGTTTCAGGTTTAAGTGCTGGGGCGGGCGAGAAGAAATGGGACAATGACAAAGAAACCCCAAACCGCCACCGCCAGCCCCGGGGTGGTGGCACAGCCAAGCCCCAATAGCTGTAGGGCCAAGCAACGTCGGGTCCCAATGCAGGGAGTGGGGCCGTGGGGGGGGCTTGTCCCAAATCATAGCGCTATGAGTGTGTTGTGAGGCCTCCACCCTGAGCTGCTCACTGTGCTGAGCATCACCGAGGCTTTTTTGGGGGTGGGGGGCACCCGGCAGTCAGCTCTGCCCCATCCCCGTGGCATGGGATGGGCAGAGGGGTCAGGAAACTGCCTACAGCCACTGGGAGAGCTCTGTGTGTGGGGCAGAGCACAGAGGAAGCGGTGAGGCGAGGTGTGTGGGGTGGGGGTACGGGGGGGGGGGGGATCCCCACAGCACAGCATTGGGGTGACGGATGGGTTCGCACCTCCTTGGCATCGCCAGCACCGACGCTTCTCCCTCTGTGTGCTTTTGTAGGGCCTGCAGTAACCCTGTGTGCACAAAGGCTATGGGAGATCCCTGGGGTGGGGGGGGAGGGAAGGGGGGGTCCAGCCGACTTGGTGCCCCACAGAGGTGTGCAAACAGAGCCAAACCACCCCAAATTTGCCCTTTTTTTTGGGGGGGGGGGGGGGTTAGGGTGCAAACCGTGCCCAGCAGCAGAACGCATCTCCGTGATGAGTTCTGCATCCCCTCCTCGGGAGGTGCAGCGTACAGCGGGGAGGGGGGGGGGGACAAGGAGGGGGGGGAGAACCGGCTCTGCTCCCCACCGCCTGGGGCTGCGCCCGGAGCCGCGGCGATGGTGTGAAGCAGATACGGCTGTGAGAGCGCGGCAGCTGCGCCGCGTTATCGCCGCCGATCTCTGCTGCTGCTGCTGCTGCTGCAGCTTTGGGGGTGCGGGGAAGGGGAAGGGGGGGGAGTTTTGGGGGGCAGAGCACCGGGATCCGGGGTTCAGGAAGCAGGATGGGATGCGGGGAAAAGGAAGGGGGGGGGTCCCCGAAAGAAAAGATTAAAGCTGGAAGGGCTGAGGGCTGATCCCCGCACAGGGGGCGCGTTTGGGTCCCACGCAGCGGTGAGCGGTGCCCAAAGCTCCGTCCCCGCTTCTCGATGCTGGGGCGGAGGGGGGGGGGGATCTGGGAGCACAGGGGCACCCCCCCCCCAACCCCCCCCTTCTCTCTTTTTGTGAAATCACGTGATAAACCCCCAGCGGCGGCGGTGCCATCGCCGTTACTCATCCCATGGCCGCGTCCCCCGGGGGCGGCCGCTGACTCAGCTGTGAAGCCCGGAGGGGAGGGGGGGGGGGGGGGGGGGGAAAGGTTGGAGACCCCCGCCCCATGGCGATGCTGCACCCCATGCCGAGCCCCCAACAGCTCCGAACACTTGGAGCGCGGTGTGTGAGACCCCCAGCGAGACCCTCCTTCACCCCCCCCCATCCCATGCCTCAGTTTCCCCACCCGATTTGGGCACAGATCTGCCATGGGGTCCCTTTTCCCAGCGGTGCCCTTCAGTCCCAGATGTTCCCCCCCTCCCCGCCATCCACCCCCCCCCCCCCCAGCATTGCTCCATCCCCATCGGGACGCCCCACAGCCCCACGCCATGTGCCCTGTGCCCCCCACCCCGTGCCACCCCCCCCCCATCCCACGGTGGGTCACAGCTCTGCGTTTCCTATGAAACGACTTTATTTTCCCATCAAAAACCCCCTCTTATTTTGGGCTGCCTGAAAGGTTTCTTTTTCCAGCAGGCTTTCGGGTTGGTTTTTTTGTTTTGTTTTTTGCTCAATGTTTCTATTGCTAAGGGGAAAAAAGCAGCAGCCCTCACTGCTTTGCTTTCCAATCCCTCCTGCCGGGGCTGTGGCACCTGGGTCCCCGTAGCCATTGGGGACCATTGGGACCATTAGGAACCTTTGGGATCGTAGGGGCACTTGGGGCTATTGGGATCATTGGGGCCATCGGGGACCATGGGGGCATTGGGGCCATAGGGACAATTGAGGCCACTGGGGCTATTGGGGACCATCTGGGACCAAAGGGGCCATAGGGGCCATAGGGTCTGGCTCCACGCGGGCAGCACAGCAGTGACAGCCAAGGAGGGGATTCTCTGATGTCTACCAAGGACCGAGCCATCACTTTGCCACCTCCATTCAACCCTTCTGTCAGATTTGTCCTCAAGATGAGGGGCTCCACGCTCTCGCGGGGTTTGTGCCCACGCCGGTCCCCAAAGCACCCTGAGCTCCCCCTACTCACCACAGGGGCTGCAGCAGCAGCCAGGATTGGGACCCCACTCCCCTCCTCTGGGTTTATAGGAAATGGCTCTGCGAGGAAGCGCCCGGTGCTCCCTGCTGGTGAGCGTTTCTTTCCAGCCGTGGGCGCCGAAAGGCCCCTCTGTGCCGCGGATCCGGTGTGAGTCAAAGCCGAAGCCCTGGGGTTTAACCACAAGCCCCAGAGCTGCTGTGTCACGGGGGAGAACCATCAGAGGCGTTTATAAGAAATGGGGGGGCTGCCCGGCCGGGGGACAGCGGGTGGGACAGCAGGGGCTCTGCCCACGTCCTTCGTCCCACGGCAGGAGGAAATCTTCGGCCCCACGGCGCAGCTGAAGTGTGGGCACGGCTCCCGGTCCCCATCTCCCTGCACAGCAGGCAGGGCTGCCGGCCATCAGCTCAGCTCCTTCTGGCCGTGCCGGGTGCCCGCATCCCCCTGCGGTGCCCAGCGTGGGACCAGCGCTCACCTCCCCACGCTGCGCCCACGTGGATCCCCAGCTGCACGGCCACGTGTTCCCCTGCAGCTGCTGCCCGCTCTCAGCTCTCTGCACGCCCCAGGTGTGCCAGCAGCTGCCTGACCCACAGCTGTTCCTCCTGGAGAGCTGGCAGCTCCCACGTGCCAAATCCTCCCGTCCCCGTAGCCTTGGGGGCTCAGCATTGGTTGCCCCTGGGATCTCCATCCCCATGGCACCGCCACCTTCATCGCCCCACACCGGGATCGGCTCCTCAGCACCCTTCCACGCTGGGGACCCCTCCCGTTTCCCAACCCCGACGACCTCAGATGACGGGGAGGTGGGGGAACAGCTCGGCTGCCATGTGCCCAGCGCCGGCATCGATGCCGAGGAGAGACAAGCGCCACTGGACCCCCGGGGGTCGGCGGCCGCCCGGCCCAGCGCAGGGCAGCGATGGTTGCTGCGGGGAGGTGACGGAGCCAACGCGCCGTGACAAGGCCTCGCGCCCCCCCGCCACGTCCAGCGCCTCGCCAGCGCCCGCCGGGGGGGACTTCACGGCTGTCACAGCTGATCTGTGTCCGGGGCAGCGTCTGCCGGCGCCATAAGTGGGGTTAAATTCGGGGTCACCCGGATTGAGTGAAATCCCCCCCCCCTCATCCCCACTGTGTCTGGGTTCCCCCCATCCCCGCTCGCCACCAGGGTGGGAGGTGGGGGTGATGCGATGATGGAGGGGGGAATGGCACCCACCGCTCCCCACACGCGGACGGCGCAGCGACGGCTCATCCCCAGAGGTGGCACAGAGCTCTTTCTGTGACCGAGGGGACGCAGAGGAGGTGGTGGCCGTCACCGCGTTGGCCTCCAGCCCCAAACCCATCACCGCCGGCGCTGGGGGGACACCAACCGCCCGCACCGCCAGCATCAACTCCCCGTGACCCTGCGGGATGAGTGCTGCTGACACCGTCACCACGCGGCCACCGCAGGCGGACCTCAGCCCTGCACGCCAGGAGCGCGCAGAGATGCTCGGCATCCCCAAAGCACGCACCGGAATGGGGACTTTTGGGCATTCTGGGACAAACCCACAGCCGAAACATCTACCCACGTCCGAAGCTGAGCCGTGGGTTGGGGCAGGGGGGATTTGGGGTGGGGGTTTCGGGGCCGTCCCCCCCCCCTGTTGCACCACGCGGGCCTCGGGCAGATGCTGTGAACTGGCAGCTGAAATTAACCCGGCTGCTCTCCTTCCCCCTGACCTATTTTTAACATTTGATTGGATTCTCTTCCCGCGCGCTGCCCCCGGTGAGGCCGCAGTGTCAGCCCCGCGTCACATCAGTGCAGCCGCGCCGGGCGTCATTTGTCACTTTGCATTTCCCAAAGGCTCAGCAGCGGGTGCAGGGCCGCGCCGTGCCCAGCTGTCGGTGCCGCCATCCCGGCCCTTTCCTGTGCTCCAGGTGCTGCGCGGGAGGGTCCCCGCGGGGGCTGCGACACCCGAGCGCGGTCCCCGACCCCGAGCTGCCGGCGTTGACACCTCCACTTCCGCCTCTCGGGGCCCTGATGGGTATTTTTAACGCCCGGCTTCTCTGTTAGGCACACAGAGAGTCCCCCCCCCTGCACCACCCGAGTGGGGTGGACAGCATGGGGATGTGCTGGGAGATGAGGGTGGGATGCGTGGGGTGGGAGATGGGGGTGGGGTTGGACCCGATGGGGAAGGGTGAGACGCTGATGGGGTGGGAGGCTGTGAGTTAGGGTTGAGATGGATGGGATGGGATGGGATGGGATGGGATGGGATGGGATGGGATGGGAAGGCGTGAGAAGCCATGAGACAGCATGAGACAGCATGGGATGGGATAGAGCCCAGCAGCAAAGGATCGACACAATGGGGTGGGATGGTGACCAATGGGGCAAAATGGGAACCAT